TGACCCCCCCCCCAATACATTCCGCCTTAATATGACATCCCTTTAATAGACCCCTTAAAGCAGGGGTAGCCAAACTCCGGCCCTCCAGCTGTGGTGGAACTACAAATCCCATGAGGCATTGCAAGATTCTCACAGCCACAGACATGACTCCCGGAGAGAGATGCATCATGGGATTTGTAGTTTCACCCCACAGCTGGAGGGCCGGAGTTTGGCTACCCCTGCCTTAAAGTGTACGTTCAGCCCAAATTTTTTTGACAGAATGGGGGAGGATTGGGACGCCTGTCGGGGGGGTTTTTATGGCTCTTTGACTCACCGACAATAGTTCCCCCAATCAGGGCAAAGGATAAAGCCACCAGCAGAGCCAGGGACTGGTACATGGCTTGAGACTGGGCCGTGCGGGTGCCATCGGCGATCAACGGGAAAACGTCCTCCATGCTGCAAGAGGAAGCAGAAAAGGTATTTCGGATGTGAAAGCAACAACAACGAAAAGATGATCCGTGGACGAGCCGCTTCTGAGGGCCTCACCCGCCGCCGTACACGTCTGCGGTAGCCACCAAGGCTACGATGGAGCCTATCATCGCCCCCAGAATGCCGGGCATGCCGTGCAGGTTGTGGACCCCACACGTGTCCTGGATCTTCAGTTTGGAATCCAGCACGGGCTGCGGAGGAAAGGCGACACGTACGTCATAGGTCTGCGTGTGAGGACGTTCCGGAAAGGGTGGTCAGTCCGCGGCTTACCGTTAAAAATTTGTATCCGAGGGTGGAGACGATCCCAGCTAAGGATCCGGCGATCATAGCACCGAACGGCGTCAACATCATCTCCGCAGACGTGCCAACTGCAACGCCACCGGCCAATGCGGCGTTCTGAATGTGGACCTGTTATAAAAGGGGATTTCATGATATGAGAAGCGGTCCCAGTGGGCCCCACGCCCTCATAGCACACATCTAGAGGCCACCAGTCTTAGTACCAACACTTTACCCTGGACTTCTAGAAGATGAGCAGCCCAGGACCTTCATGAGGTCCACAACTCTTCACTGAGCCCCACGTTTTCATAGCACACATTCGGAAGCCACTGGTCTTGGGTACCAACACCTGACCCAGGACATCTAGACATTGAACGGCCGAGGACCTTCATGGGTTCCACAAATCTTTAGTGAGCTCCACATCCTCATAGCACACATTCGGAAGCCACTAATCTTGGCTACCAACACTTTGCCCAGGACCCCTAAGTGTTGAGCAGCCCAGGACTTTATGAGGTCCACAACTCTTCACTGAGTCCCACGTCCTCATAGCACACATCCAGAATCTTTCAATCTTTGGTGACAACACTTTGACCCCTTTGACTTTGAACACTTTGACTACCCTTAACCTCTGGGCATTGAATGGCCAAAGACCTTCATGAGGTCCACAACTCTTCACTGAGCCCCACTTCCTCATAGCACACATCCAGAAGCCACCAATCTTGGGTACCAACACTTTGCTTAGGACCCCTAAGTGTTGAGCAGCCCAGAACCTTCATGAGGTCCCCCAACTCTTTACCGAGCCCCATGTCTTCATAACACACATCCAGAATCTACCAAGCTTTGGTGACAACACTTGACCCAGGACCTCTAGACATTGAACGGCCCAGGACCTTCATGATATCCACAACTCTTCAGTGAGCCCCACATCCTCATAGCACACATCCAGAAGCCATCAATCTTTGGTGACAACACTTTGATCCCTTTGACTTTGAACACTTCGAATACCCTGGACCTCTGGGCATTGAGCAGCCCAGGACCTTCATGAGGTCCACAACTCTTCACTGAGCCCCATGTCTTCATAGCACACATCCAGAAGCCATTAATCATGGGTGACAACACTTGACCCTGGACCTCACATCCAGAATCTTGGGTACCAACACTTTGCCCAGGACCACTAGAAGATGAGCAGCCCGCTACCTTCATGATGTCCACAAGTCTTCACTGAGCCCCACATCCTCATTGCAAACATCCAGAAGCCACCAATCTTTGGTGACAACACTTGACCCAAGATATAAGCATTAAGTGGCCCAGAACCTTCATGGAGGTCCACAACTCTTCAGTGAGCCCCAGGTCCTCATAACACACATCCAGAAGCCACCAATCTTGGAACCAACACTTCACCGAGGAACTGTGATGGGTTACTAAGGGAGAACATGTATCAGGACTGTGATGGGTCACTAAGGGAGAACATGTATCAGGACTGTGATGGGTCACTAAGGGAGAACATGTATCAGGACTGTGATGGGTCACTAAGGGGGAACATGTATCAGGACTGTGATGGGTCACTAAGGGAGAACATGTATCAGGACTGTGATGGGTCACTAAGGAGGGACATGTATCAGGACTGTGATGGGTCACTAAGGAGGAACATGTATCAGGACTGTGATGGGTCACTAAGGGAGAACATGTATCAGGACTGTGATGGGTCACTAAGGAGGGACATGTATCAGGACTGTGATGGGTCACTAAGGAGGAACATGTATCAGGACTGTGATGGGTCACTAAGGGAGAACATGTATCAGGACTGTGATGGGTCACTAAGGGAGAACATAGATGACCTGGGAGGGGGTCATAACCATTTCCTGATTTGGGCTTCTCACCATATCGAGCTTTCCTTCACCGTTCAGCAGGGAGGACAAGGCGAACGTGGCCAGCGTGCAGGCGGCCAGGGAGTAGTAGGTGTTCATCACCGTCCTATGCTGGTCATCACCGTGAGCCGTGACGGCGGAGTTGAAGCTGGGCCAGAACATCCACAAGTAGATGGTTCCTAGAAGGAAGAAGGAACATGGATCAGGACTGTGATGGGTCACTAAGGAGGAACATGTATCAGGACTGTGATGGGTTACGAAGGAGGAACATGGATCAGGACTGTGATGGGTCACTAAGGAGGAACACGTATCAGGACTGTGATGGGTTACGAAGGAGGAACATGGATCAGGACTGTGATGGGTCACTAAGGGCCCCTTAGTGACCCATCACAGTCTTGATCCATGTTCCTCCTTAGTAAGGGGGAACATGTATCAGGACTCCGGTGCTGCGGCAAGTCAAGCATGTAAATTGCTTTGCCAGCAAGCCCAGCATGTACCTACCGATCATTGCAAAAAGGTCCGAGTGGTAGACCGACCCCTCCCTCTGGCGGCTCTTGTCCAGGTGAGGTCTGTAGAGCACCCGAGAGACCACCAGGCCAAAGTAGGCCCCGAACGTGTGGATGGTCATGGAGCCGCCGGCATCTTTGGCCTAAAAAACCGGGAACATAAAAAAGGATAAAACCATAAAATTGTTTCCGGCAGGAAAGGGATCTCCGGGGAAAGTTCCGCCATGAGTGATATGTATGCGGCAGGCAGCCGAACCGGCCAATGAGAAGACGAGATCCTAGACACATGAGCGTATTTTCTTTCTGGGCCCTGGTATTCCTCGGGGGTGGAGTCTAGAAGTAGGCCCCGCCTATGCGCAGCCCCTCCCCTCGTTCCCATCGCACTTACCCCGACTACGTTCAGTATAATGTACTCGTTGATCCCGAAAAGCGTCACTTCGAACAGCGTCATGACGACGAGCTGGACGGGACTGGTTTTGCCGAGGACGGCCCCGAAGGAGATGAGGACGGCCCCCGTGCAGAAGTCCGCGTTGATCATGCTGCAATAAAGAGAGCGACACGGCGCTGTGACTTCATCTTCACTTCCTGTCCCCGGAGAGGCAGCAGGAAGTCAGGGAGAATCTCTCCAACGTCGGGAGAATTCCCAACTCCTCGGAACCGGAGCGGAACAATCATATCTTGTTTTTGTTTGACTGTTTTTTTTGTTTTTTTACTTAACTTTATTGCTATCTCACAGGAGCTAACAGGCCCCTCGGTGTGATATCATCTGGAGGCGAGAGGTTCTCTTTATTGAACCTGTCACCTCCAATACAGGAGTCGCACAGCAACTCTGACCCTAACCCTGACCTTTGCTAACTCTAACCCTAACTCTAATGCTAACCCTAACCCTGACACTAATCCTAACCCTGACCCTCGCTAACTCTAACCCTAACTCTAACCCTGATCCAAACCGCTAACCCTGACCCTAACCCTGATCCAAACCGCTAACCCTGACCCTAACCCTGATCCAAACCGCTAACCCTGACCCTAACCCTGATCCAAACCGCTAACCCTGACCCTAACCCTGATCCAAACCGCTAACCCTGACCCTAACCCTGATGCTAACCCTGACCCTAACCCTCGCTAACTCTAACCCTGACCCTAACCCTTACCCTCGCTAACTCTAACCCTGACCCTAACCCTGACACTAACCCTGACCCTAACCCTCACGCTCACCATCGCTCACTCTAACCCTGACC